ATCAAATACTTGCCTAACATTAAAGTATCTTTAGAAATATGTGAAAATGGTCAACTTGGTTAGCAACATAGATTGCCTTTCCCGAATTCACACTACTAGAATTTCTTTTATTACATGCTTTTCCTGCAATTTTTTCATAAAAACTCGCAGGAAATGTTGTTCCTACAAAGTTTTCTGAGAAATTTTATCTGCAAGTAATACCTTCATGAATAATATGTTTTTGTGAATTTTAAAATTCGCAAGAAATTTTGCTGCGAAATTTCTTGTAAAAAAATTCGCAAGAAAGTTTCTTGCAAAAAAAAATTCGCAGGAAAGTTTCCTGCTAAAAAAATTTCTCAAGAAAGATTCTTACGAATTTTTTCGCAAAAAATTCTGCAAGAATATTTTTTACAAAAAAAAATTAAAGAAATTACTATAAATTCTATCAATAATTCTTCAACTTTCAAATGCTCACAATGAATTCATCCGAAACATTTATTTCCATACCTCCAACATGTGATACATAATCTTTTAAATTCTAAAATTGTATAAGCCTAACACTCAATCATACAAATCAAATTGTAAGGTAAGTGTTGCCCCAACTTATATACTCTTTAATTGTTTTGTTTTCAATCGATGTGGGACTTAAAGTTGTTTTTAAAATATTAAACTTATAAATTTAAATATTTTTTTGATTTTTTCTGCGGATTAAAATTGACAGGAAAATTCGCAGGAAAAGTTACCGGTAATTTTTTTTTACAATTTAGTAAACATTACTTGCGAATTTATTTTTGCAAGAAAATCTGAAGAAACAAAATAAAATTCTTACAATATTTTCTGCAAATTTTTACCATGGAAAAATTTCTATGATCATTAAAATTGTAGAAAAATTTGCAAAAATTTCTTGTAGATTATTTTTCATAAAAAAATTTGTAAGAAATATCTGTAAATTATTTTTCGCAAATAAATTCGTAAATTTTTTTGTGAAATTATTATTGCAAGAAAATTTACAAAAAATTTCTGCAAATATTTTTTTTAGGAAAATTTGCAGAAAAATGACACTATTTTAGTAGTGTCAGCCACATAGAGAGCAAGTGAAAAGCTTGAGTGTTGAGTGTCTTTTATGTATGATTTGCACTCAACTTTTGGTACTCTTTTTGGTAATTGTAGATATTTATATATGTTATTTTACCCCTAAATTGGAAGAATCAAAGTATACTAAAAGGGTAGAAGAGTAGTAGCAAAATCTTAATGTTTTCCCTCCATTTTTTGTAGAAAATTTGAGAAGACAGAGTTCCACAGCCATAGCTGTGGAAATCTGGGGAGAAATTTTGAAGGCCAGAAACTTGCAACTATAGCTGTGGTTCTGCAGCTATAGCTGTGGAAATCTGGAATGCTCATTTTTGGTTCCAGAGACTTGAAGTTAAAGTTGTAGGTCCAAATCTTGAGCGTTGAGGCTTGGGAGATCAAGGAAAGCCACAGAGACTCACAACCATAGCTATGGTTTCACAGTTGCAGCTTAGGGAGTTTCTTAATCATGAAGGAGTTTCCACAGTTATGGCTGTGGAGCTACAGCTGCAGCGCCAGGAGTTGCTTCATCTTGAAGGACTCTCCACAGCCATAGCTGTGGTTCTACAGCCACAGCGGTGGAGTTAAAAAATTGCAAATCTCCCCTGTTTGAAGCTGATATAAAAGGGGAACAAAGAGGAAAACAGGACATCACGGAAAAACAGAGAAAAAGAGATTAAGGAGCACTTGAAGAGGGAAGAACAAGGGGAGAACAAAGATTTGGAAGCTGAATCCTTTGGGAACGAAGATCAACTCCATTTCTTCATCTTTTACTTTGTAATCTCTTCTTTTACTTCTTATATCTTGTAATGGCCATGTGTGGCTAAACTCATTAAGGATTGGTTGGATGTAACTACTAACTCTTCTTCTTCTTAAATATATGCATTTTGATCTCATTATTTGTGCTTGATTCTTTACTTAATGCTTCTATCGGTTTGATCACCGTGGTATGATTTTGGTTTTTAAATCCAGTTGGAAAACGTTTTTGAAAACTCAAACTGAATCTTACACCTAATCATTTCTTGTTCTAGGAATAGACTTGATTTGGTTAGTCACATTGTTCAAGTCACTGTTATTAATGCGAAGTGTTAAACTCAAAACATAGAGGAATCATGTCTTGAGATTAATGACTTTAGGATTCAACCTTGAGGAATCTTGTTGGATTACTAAATGAACGTGAAAATAATGAAATTAGAATCGCATTTATTTTAAGAAGATCTACGAGTCAGCAAGAACTTCTGAACCAATCCTTGTTTCTTAACCATTGTTTTTACTACTTTCATTTTATTGTGTTGTTCTACTCTATCTTTACTCATTTGCAATTATAACAACATTCTCTTTTAAATCATTAGAGCAAGAATTACTAAACTCTCAAATCCCTGAGGACGATACTTAATTACTACATCGAAACTTGGTCCGCTTGCCAAGTGGTGTGTTTGCAAAAACCTCATCATTGAGTTAGTCTACTCTATGCTTGTGGACCTATGAAAACTACTCCATAGAATGGTAGCAAGTACTTTATTCTCTTTATAGGTTATTTTGCGAGAATGACCTAAGTTTATTTTCTTAAGCAAAAATCTTAAGCTTTTTTTTTTCCTGTTTTTAAGAAGTTTAAAGCCTTGGTTCAAACTCAAAGAAGTTTTTTTTTTTTGAAGAAACTTAGAACTTACAATAGGTAGTAGACTTCTACAAAATTTAATATGTTTTGTGATGATTTGGAAGTTAGCACCAACTTACAATGAACTATTCACTCCAACAAAATGGAATAACAAGAGGAAAATAAACTAGTTCTTAAGATGGATAGATGCATGATTTTTTAGAAGAAACTGTCAAAGTTCTTTTAGGCAAAGGCTATAAATATTGCTATATGTCTTCAAAATAGGCTTCCTACAAGGGCGGTAAAGAGGATGACACCTATTCAAGCTTGGGGAGGCATCAAACCATCCATTAGACATTTAAAATTGTTTGGTTCATTTTGTTACACTCATATATTGGTTGTGAAAAGAAGAAAATTGGATGAAAGGTTGAAAAGGAAATTTTAATAGGCTAAAATTCAAAATCTAAGGGCTATATAGTTTATGAAATTGATTCAAGAAAATCTTTTGTTAGTAGAGATATTAAGGTGAATGAAGATGCTTTTGGAATTAAGAGTTCTCAAATGGAAAGACACTCAATTTTACCTATTTTTGAAAGCATAATTGAAGATCGAAAAAAAGGGGTTAATGGTGATTTTGCTATAAGAGGCACCAAGCCACTTTCAAAAATTTATCAGAGATATAACATTATTGTACATGAATGTACCAAATTCAAAGAAGCTAATAAGGTTTAAGAGTGGAGAACCAAGCTATGAAGAAGGATATGACCACCATTGAATATAACAAGACATTCAGCTGGTTGATAAACTAAAAGACAAGAATGTAATTAATGTGAAATAGGTTGATAGGACAAGGTTGAATCTTAATGGATCCATCAACAAATACAAGGACAAACTTGTTGTTAAAGGCCATGTTGAACAACTTGTAATAGACTACACAAACTTTAAATTTGTTAGCAAGAATGGACACTATTCGTACTCTTGTAGCTTTGGCAACTAAAATGAAATGAAAAATTCGACATTCATATGTCAAATCTACATTCCTAAATGGCAACCTAGTTGAAGAAATTTATGTAGCTTAACATGAAGGTTTTGCTGTGAAAGAGAATGAAGACAAGGCATATAGGCTTCATAAAGCCTTTTTCTTGTATGGTATAACAAAACTAATAGCTATCTTTGCAATCCAGGTTTTAACAGGAGTGAAAATGATTCAACTCTTTATATGGAAAGGTTGTTGGATGGTAGCTCTTTGATTACTTTTTTCTATGTTGATGATTTGTTAGTGACTAGCAATAACCAACAAGAAGTGTAACAACTTATGGAAGAGATGCAAAAATCATTTTCAAATGTTCAACTTAGGCAAAATGAACTATTTTCTAGGCTTGGAAGTGCATCAAATCAAGGATGGATTTTTTATGAATCAAGAAAATATGTTCATGAAGTTTTAAAGAAGTATAAAATGGAAAGTTGCAACTCTGACTCTACTCCTTAGGTGTAGAAGTTGAAACTCTAACAAAGATGGAGCTAAAAAAATTGATGTTTCTCTTTATAAAAGTCTTATTCGAAGTTTAATTTATCTCACTTCATCCATGTCTAATCTTATGTATGCAACAAGCTTACTCTCAAGACTCATGCAGAGTCCCAAGTGATACACATTTTTTTACAGCGAAAAAAGTGCTTAGGTACTTGAGAGACACTACTCAAGTTGGAATATGGTACAAGCCAAGTGAAAATGGAAGTCTAAATGGCTACATTGATAGTGATTGAGTAGGAAACCTTGATGCCATGAAGAGCACTAAAGGTTAAGTATTTTTTTGAGGCTTTGACATTTTCTCATGGAATTCAAAGAAGCAAGAAATTGTTGCTCACTCCACTCCTAAAGTGGAATATGTAGCTAGAGTTGTAGTAGCAAACCAAGTTGTTTGGTTGAGGAAAGTTCTACTTGATTTAGAAGTAGAACAACTAGAAGCCACTAGGATTTATTGTGACAGCAAGTCAACAATTGTTATTGTAGAAAATTCAGTCCATCATAGAAAGACTAAGCATATTCAAGTGAAGTTTCATGCCATAGTGAGCTTGTCAAAAATCATGAGATCAAGTTGATTCATTATTGTGTTGATCTTCAAGTTGTTGATATATTAACTAAAGCTCTTCTAAGAGCAAGATTGCCTATTTTATTTTAGGTTTTATGATGTAGTTGGTGTGTTTGTCGGTCTAAAGTACACCAACTCATACCTTTTGGAGTGTGTTTTTAGCTTTGTAATCATGTTGGTCAAGTTACCCATACATGTTAGGTAGTATAAAAGTCTTACTCTATTTTATATACGTTTTTATATATGTATTAGAAATAGATCAATTGCATATCAATTAAAACGCTTCATGTTTCTGACTCAAACACCTCTTTTGCCAACAATAACGAGATAAAATTTCCAATTCTAATTAACATCAAAAGTACTTATAAAACTGCTTCTAAGTTTTCTTGTAAACTTAATCGTTAGTCCTTACTCCCATTTGCATTTGACCTTGTGTGTGTGCCTAAAGTCATATCTCAACAATAATTTCCCATCCAATGTCCTCAAACAGAAACTTTCCACCAACAGATAACACCCAAACCTTAGCCATTCACTCTGGCTTCTTGCCTCTTCTCTCACTCTCGCCACCCTTTCTCTTCCATGACCATAAGCCCATCCTCCTGCCTCTTGCACCCATCTCATGTGCTCAACAATTGCTGAACTCAAACCCACATTGGCCCTTCTCCTATTATATGGATCATATGCTCTAAACCAAAAGAAACCATTACCATCCGTTGTTGCATTCCTTGTGGCTTCCATGCCAGACACCGAAACCACCTCTCTATCCACACACACATTCACAACCACAACACCCTCTTCACTCTCATCACTGCCACAAGTGTAAACCTCTTCCCACCTTTGCTCAAGTGTCATGCTGTAATACATGCTCCTCTTCATTTGGTGCTTAACTCTTGTTCCATCCCTCACAAATATGAATGGGCAGTACCATTTTCCTACTGTCACAGGAGGTGAACGTTTTCTAGAGATGGGGAAATTGAAATCTGGAAGCTGCTCCCTAAGAGGAGCATCAACACCAAGAGCTTCACTTAGTCTGCAAGATCTATATGAGCCTGATATTCTAATTCTCCATCCTTTTTTTCTTAGGAACGAGGGAGGAATGCCATCAGGAGTAATGGACCTAGCAAAAAATCCACCACTCTGGTGACTATGAATCTTGAAAATTTGGTACAAGTCTTTCAGATTGAAAGGCTTTGGCCTTTGGTCATTCAAGATGTCATTGAAGCAGCATGTGACAATGTCCCCCTCTCTTGAGCATTTGTAAGCTTTCCTACAAAATCACAGTAGTTCCAACATTGTGACCATGAATATCTTCACTTTAGAGAACACAACACATTATTTGACATTAATGTAAGACAACAGTTACATGCACAAAGTTTTCTCATAAATATTGCATAAACAAATATTGTGGTTGCATCTAAGTTTTAGAAAAGGCCGAATAATCAAATACTCAAATTACAGGAGCACAAATTCCGGTTATCATTCTTAATTTGACAGTCTCTCATTTTTATCCTAAGAAATGGAAATTAGAAAAAGGAAATCATACATGTTAGGTGTCATAATTTCAGTTCTGCAAGAAAGACTATATATTTTCAAATTACACAGCTTTTAAGAAAATGTTATACTAGTAACATTACTCTTCTGAGATGCATGGCGTGACCTTGGAACTTGGTTCTGAGTTCTGACTTCAGCTTATGCATGACTAATTAAAAAACTATAGCAATATAGATAATGATGATATCAATCTTTATACTCCTTAAAATCAACATTTAGTGAAGTTTCCTAATAGATATGTAAGTTATATCTCCATAATTGAGACAGGAGACGAGGGATTTTCTAACATCTCCTCCACATATGCCTACCAGAATAGGCTATGCACAAAGATGAATTGTAGACACTGATTAGATTCACATTAAGTGAATTTTCCTAATAGAAATACAAGCTGTATTCCAAGAATTGAGGCAGAATATGTGAGACTATTCAACAACAATAATGGTCAACATAGAAGACTAAGAAAAAACCCTTTTATAACGAGGTTAATTATTGGTCCATTATAGAAAAAAGAAAAGCATAATGCCCACACACACATACCCCTTATGTTTGCCCTTGGCTCTGATGACATAGTAGCGGTTGGAAGATAGAGGGTGATCAGGCACAGGGAGAAACCAAACCTTGGTGTTTGTAGTTTGTTGATACTCTGATGCATGAGTGATTGAAAAGATTTTGTCCTGAGGGAAAGGCAGTTTCTTAACGTTCGTACGCCTGTATAGATGCCAACAACACATGTCTTCTGCTTCTGCTTCCTCATCTGTGATCACAATATAACCTGAATACGGACCATCTGGTGGTGGCATTGATAGAGTACTTGGAGATCTTCTGTACATAGACAAAGGCCTAGTTACATACATCTTTTTTCCTTCTCACCCTCTCAATATGTTGGGTGCAAGAGAGTGTTTCTAAGTGCCACAAATCAAACTGAAACCAATGGGGAATTTATCAGTTTCAGTTCCTTATGAATGAAGATATGGAAATCAGAAGACACCTTAAAGTTCAAGAACAGATAACATATCAATTATTAATTGGAGTGCATGTAATTTTCATGTAACACATTAAGGTACAAACAATTTGCATTACTATACTTTATAATAATTCTGCTACTATACACGTTTTAATTGGTAAAGATTAAAGAAAACTACAGACAAAAAGAGAACGGCGCTTTTACTTTCATTTATTTTCCATCTTTTTCTTTTTCTTTTTCTTCTTCTTTTTTTTTTTGCAAGTATCTTCCAAACACAAAAATCAACAGTTTTAGACTATTTTGTTTACACATAATTGATAGCAAAACTGCATCAATGGCTGTGTTTAAATTTGAAATTAAAATGTTTGAGAATTATTAGTCAGATATAGTCACAAGAAGTTATTACCTATATGGTTCAGTTGTGGACTTCTGCTTTTATAATGAGTATATAGTGAAAGTAGCACCACTCAATCGGATTACCTAAAAGAAAAAGGTAGCGCCAATGTATAAATACTATTCAGTGAAGCTTCAAGAAATTAGTGGACTCTGACGACTATAGGTGATTCTTATCTTAACTTTCCAAATCAGCTTTTCCCCTACTTTAATAATATAATGAATTAGGATGAATTATACACAAGAATCATATGCAGCTTATATTTACATAACCTCCTTTCATATATATTTTGTAATTATATATCTATAGTCCATGAAGCTACTGCAGATAATTATACACTTACTGATAATATTTTGTTTTCTACACTAAGTGATACTGTTTTTCTAAGTTGCCAGAAACAAAATGCTGCAATATTTTGTAAAAGTAGCTGATAATTATACGGTAGAAATTATATTTTGATTGTTAACAAATGATTTTAGTATATAGCCATCCCCGTTTTTCAATAAAGAGTCCATATATTATTTATATCATTATCAGAATAGTATTAGAACTTGGTTTATGCTTGGCTAAATAACTTAAGCACTTTCTCCGCGAGTGTTTATCATATAAACGTTTATATTTAAGTTATTTCTATAATTGAAGAAAAATTAGAAGTTAAATTGTTTTCACATAAATTATAAGTCATATAAATTATAAGTAGTTTCTATAATCATTAGGTTAGGACAAATAAACAATTGTTGAGAACTTATTGAAATAAACTGAAAACAGTTTGTACTTATGCTATAATAATTCGAAGTAAATTATAAATAAATTATTCCAATGGTGCTCTTTCCAATTTCCTTTCATGGTTCCAGATTATCTTTTGAAGATTGGGAAGAGAGGACCATGAGGCAACGACAATAGGCATTTTTTTTTTAAACAACTGCAGCAGTGTGTTATTGATTAGAATCACGTAAAAAGCTTCTGCCTTCAAAAAAAAAAATTGTTGTTAGCTTTTAAAGTAGCTATAAAATTCAACAAATTTATCATACATAATGGTTTGGGATAAGATCACAATATAAAAATCTTTTATATTGTTAATACTGTTTATGCTTCAAAAAAATGTAGAAACAAATGTTTTAGAAATTGGCAACTAAACCAAAAATTGTTTTCTTTTTTTGAGGAATTAAAAACTCCATTAAGCCAAAAAATAAAATGTTGTCCTTTTGTTTCACTGAATAATGTTTAAGGAGAGTGTTGTCCATTCCAAGATCATAATATTTGTTACAAGCCTCAACAAGGCTATATGTCAAATGCGCTATACTTTAATCATCAACAAGAATTATACTTTATTAATGGAGTCATCCTCATTGCACATTTCTTGAGTATCTCTCTGTTATACAAACTTCATTTTTCTGTGCCTCTTTGTTTTCAGATTTCTGCTATGGCTGTCACCTATAACTGTCACAGTGTTAGGAGTTAAATGGAAGGGAAGGGAAAATTAGTTTCAACCAGTTAGAGAAGTTAGTTAGTTTGTTATAGGAGTTAGTTAGATATAAAAGACCAGTAATTAAGAGGAAAGGATTCAAAAACTGTTTGAATACGAGCTAGAAGCACTTCTAAGGACTTTTTAACTGGATATAAAAAGTATTTTTCAATAGAGAAACTCTTAAAAATGCTTTAAATCCTGTATCCAATCAAACTCTCATTCTATTGGCTTATCATTTGGTCATCCTAAAAGCAGAAATCCTTGGAAGAGAAATATCTATGCTATTTTCTGTTCTTTCCATTAAATTAGATAAAATATTTTGTTATCCTCACCCGTTTCTATTCTTGGTATTGGAAAAAACCCAAGTTCAACATCGACTAATGATAAAGTAATTAAAGAGTATATAAGTGGAGAACATTCTTCACCTTATAAGTCAATTTTGTAGGGTTGAGTTAGACTCAAATCCACTATTCTAAAATATTATCAGAGCTATCCTAGATCATTAAAAATGATCACTTATCCTAGATCATTAAAAAGGTCACCTACCATTTATCCACTTACCAAGCCCAATAATGTCCAATAGTGAATGGATTATCCACCATTTATCCACATACCAAACTCAATAGTGTCCAATAGTAACTAAAAAGTATATAAGTAAAGAACATTTCTCACCTTATAAGTTGGTTTTGTAGGATTGAGTTAGGCTCAAATCCACTATTCTAAGACTTGGTTCCTTACAAATTGGTCCAACTTGCCAGAACTATATTTTAAGGAGAAGAAGCAACCTGATTTGTTGTCGAGGAGAAGAAATGGAGACTTTCACATTATTCTTGAAAGAGAGGACCAGTGATCTATCTCAAATTAAGAAAATGCTGCTGCAGTTGGTGAAGAAACAAGAAGCAAACCAGCACTAGATGAGTCATGGAAGGTGTTAAAGATCAAGAAATCATTTGAGGTTAAGAGCCCTCAGAAATCAAGATCAAGAAACAAGTTGAAGGAATTAAATAGATCAAACAGATGCTACAGCTGTTGCTCAAGAAATAGGGAAAGAGAATAAACAACTCACTCAAGCAGAATCTTTATTTTTTGTACCATTTTCCTAACACAGCTAGATTGTTATAACTGACACCCTCTTTAGACGAGTCTCTGAATAGGAGATGTTAGTCAGAAGCTTATCAGTCTTTGTAAATTTTCATCAGTTCAATACAATTTACATTTCTAGAATACTCTAGAAATCAAATAAGAGCTTATGAAGCACCATTCGTGATTGATAACAATGTTCTAAGTTCTAATTGAAAGTATGCTTTTCAAAAATCAATATAGTGCTTTACAAACTAAATTTCCTTTTGTACATGGTATAAGTTATAAATTAATAGAATAGTAAAGACTAAAGAGTAATTTTCTATTGGTACCATGCATCAAAATTTCCAATTGGTATTTGGCACCACTCATGTTGGGTGAAAATTAATTCTGATGGTTCTGTTCCAGGCAATTCTTATCAAGCAGCATTGGGATCATTAGAGATCATTAGGGTAGCTTTATATTCTCAGCTGAATTGGGAGACTGTTCTGTCACTCAATCTTAGTTATTGCTAGTCTTGGCTTTTAGTCAAATCATTGTTGAATGAGATTCAACCTCTGCCACTAATCTTAACAAGAAATGTTTTTCTTCTAGGCACTCTTGTTTTCCTATGATCAACAAAATCTGGTCTATCTCACATTCCGAAGGAGCTCTTTCTTGGATGTTTGTCCTTGAAAAAGTCAATCAAGTTGCTGTTTCTGATTATCTTTTGAAACAAAATTTTCAGTTATTTGTTCCTTTCCATTTTGTTTTTTCATTTTTCTCCAGACTTTAATAGTCTAATCCTCGGTGGTCTTTCCAACAGGGTTCTAGTATCTTCTTGTATTTCCTTTTCCCACCAAAAACAAAATATTGAGCTAGGTGGCATCTTTATTTATGTCACTGTTGTAGCAAACACAGGAATATCTTTTCTAAACTTCATCAATCTTACATTTTGAGCAAGTTTGGGAAAATTTGACCACAAACACTAGCAAAAGAAAATAAAAAGAAATAAGGAGCTAAAACGAAGTAAACTTCTCTAAACTTAAAATTTAACCTCCATACAACTGAATTATAAAGGTGGATAAGTGGATTTTTTAACTTGCGAGAGGAAATTTATTCATTTTGTCTATTATATTATTTTCTTCTCTTTTAGGTACTTATTGATAAGTTTCTCCAAACTAACTCTTTATTGTTTTCTTCCGTAAAAGTGGATGTTTTCATAACCAACACCTTATCATCAATTTGATTGTGTTATTACGATGTCTTAATTATCATTGTTGTCATTTCTCAGCCATCTATAGTTATCAAGTTGTGGTGGTTTTTCTTTTTCTGGGTGCATGAGTGCTGGTTGAGGCTGCAAGCAGAATTTAAGGGATCGAAACTGGTATGGCTTAAAAGAACTAATGATTGCTTTTTGATTTGCTTAAATTCTCATAGTTTTATTTTTTATTATCACCCAAAAAGAACTATAATAAATAAAATGTGTGTATTTTATAATTTTTTTTTGTTTTAATTGTACCTGTCTGAAAGGCACACTAGTAATCTTCTCGTACTCTGAGGGCCGAACGAGAATTCCAGTCGAATATTCCGGTGAGCGGAGGGCCACCTGCAAAAGACACTCTGACGCTCAAGTCAGGACAAGCACAGATATCGATAGTAATTAATGAACAATGACGTTATCTCGTGACATGAGCTATTTATACTGACATTTATGAGTCCTGATCCCCATGGGCCCTGCAACATGCTTACGGTATTAGGTAATACATCTTAATCAGTTTATTAGTGTAATTAACCCCTAATTATTGCTTAACAGTAATGCTTAAGTATAGGCCGGTCCTGGTGGCCGATTGGGTGTCGGCCATCGGATTGGTTTGTTAGCCGATGGAGTTTCGGCTATGAGGTGGTTGAGCGGCCTTACCCGTACACTTTCCCCCCAGCCTTGGAGAAGGGCGAGCCTTCTTCAAGGGTAGATGGAGGTTGTTGTCTAAGGGTAAGGCGAACGGTTTTCATAATCTCAACCATTAGATCTTAAAGATCGGATGGTTACATTTTTCAAAATTTGAAATTTCTCGCCCTTTTCCTTGGCTATATATAGTCACGCGTGGTAGGACCTCTCACGCATTGCTTTCAGCCGAGGTGTGCCAACCGAATCTCTGTGAGACCGAATCAGCCGAACCAAGCGTGCCGAGTGATTTTTCGTAGATTTTTGAAAATCTTGGTAAGTGTTCACTATCATGGCTGACGCTTCTGACAGCTCTTCGGCTAGCAGTTCTCGGTCATCTTCGTCCGAGGGGTCGTCGTCCAGTAGCTCCAGTCGTCCAAGCCTAAAGTCCCCCGTGCATGCCGAAAGGCCTGATGGAAGTGCCTCGTCTTCAGGGAAAACTTCTACTAGCGGGAGTCCCGAGCTTCAACCCAAAACGAGGCGTGTTTCGAATCGGCAACGGTATGGGCCGCCCGAGGTGCC